ACAAGTGAATTAACTACTTCAGTTAATTTATCTAACTTATTTTCAAGTGAAAATGTACTTATCTCGTGAACCCGTCGGCTGGGTTCACTCGAAAACTGTTGAGAGTTGGTTGCCATGGTTGAAATCAATTCTCTTGCTGTTGTTGGGGTTATGTTAACTAATGTTCATCCACTGGCGGCATCCACCATTTTCATCTCCATTGGTAAAAGACCTTCATAAAAGTATTGAAGTAACGTTTGCTCACTTAATCCGTGTTGCGGATAACGTGCACAAAGCTTTTTAAATCGCTCCCAATAGTCATAAAGACTTTCTTCGCTCTTTTTCTGAATGGAAAGAATGCTCCTTCGCAACTCTCTTGCTTTAGCCGCTGGAAAGAACCTGTCAAGAAAAATTCGATTCATGTCAGCCCATGGATTAACTGAATTTGGAGGTAAATAAAATAACCAATCTTTAGCCAAGTCAGATAAAGAGAAAGTGAAAGCTCTCAATTTAATTTGATCCTCGGTAACTCCATATGGTTTCATACTAGTGCAAACCATGTGGAATTCCAACAAGTGTTTGTACGGATCTTCAGTGGGAAAGTCGTGGATAGAGGGAAGAAGATGAATGAGTAATGTCTTTAATTGAAACGGAGTCCCGCCACTTGGAAAATTAATGCATAATGGCGTTTGAGTGACAGGAGTTGTGGCTAGCTTTCGGATCGTTTGTTCTTCTTCTGCCATCGGGATGTTGTATGCGTCTGCTTCAGAGTTTGTCTCTGGAATTGATTCTGCTTCTGAACTTTGTTTTTGTTCTTCTTGTCTTTTTATCTTTTCTCGAAGCGTTTGTGCATGGATTCTCCGTGCTCGTGCTTCGATCTCTGGATCTAGATCTACTAATTCACATGGGTTACTTCTGGTCATAAATCAAAAACTAGAAAAATAAATCAGTACTTGTCGTTAGTCCCCGGCAACGGCGCCAATTTGATAACCGTCGTTTTGTTATCAAAAATAATTCCTGGCTTCTTAATAAATAAAAATGAAAATGTAGTATAGAGAAACAAGGTCGATCCATAGGGACTGTGGTGTTTCTGATTTAATAAAAATCTTTCTTGATTTTAGAAAAAGATAGAATTCCAGATGAAGTTGAAAAGATATATTAAAATAAAATAAATAAAAAAATAAAAATAATATAATAATAAATATTAATAGTAATAAATATAAAAAGTTTTTTTTAAAAGTTGTGGTTAAAATAAAAAATAAGAATTAAATAAAAAATAATTAAATAAACAAATTAAAGAGATTAAGATAAAGAGAAACTTATTGTGAAAGCAGCCTCAGACTTCAGCTTTGTCTCAAATTCCTAGGATCATCGAAACAAATTTTTACTTTAAGATTCACGTAAGCTTACAAGAACATTTCTTCGCTGCCAACTCGGATTGTGCCGTTTCAACAACAACTGATTCCGATCTCAGTTTCCTCTTAGCAAACAATTTTGTTAAGTGTGTTCTCGGGAAGTTGAATATGCTTCAATAAGCAAATCCTTCTTCAAACATTAACCATAACAATATCCGGACCAATGTCAAAAATAGTTTTGATTTGAAAAGTAAGCTTCAGAAAATAGAGAGAAAATCCGAAGCGATTTATGTACCTTACAATTCTCACGTTTGGAATTGAGCCTTCGCTTTAGTCTTCGACTTGAAAGAAAATTAGCTAAGCATAACCAAAGTTATACTTAGCATAATAGAAAAGTATGCGAAAAATAGAGAGAAAAAGAAGATTTTATTCTCAAAATGAGAGAGATATGTTTCTAGGCTCACCCTTAGAGGGTATTTATAGCCTTCAAAATCCTAAAAACAAGCTAAAACATCTTAAATGCTAATTAAAACACTTAAAACTATTTAAACTAAAATACCTAAAAAAATAATATAATATTTTAAATCCTAATTAAAATACTAAAACCTATTTAAACTAAAATACAAAGATAAAGATAAAATATAAAAATAATATCCTAAAACTTAATTAAAATACTAAAAATCTATTTAAACTAAAACACAAAGATAAAATATAATGTTTAAAATATTATCCTAAATTTGAGTTTAATCCAAATTCGAATTCCAGCCAGCTTTGATTCTGAAAATAAAAAATCTGCAGAATTGTGTCCTTTTTTTTGCAATTTCTATAATCTTACGTCCTGTACAGAAAATGAATTAAAATGAACAAATAAGCCACAAAATTCAATGATTAAAGAGTGATTTAAAAGTAAAATATTAACTAAATTAAGCATTTATCAGTTTATCAAATCTTTCAATTTGAGTCGTGAGTCGGGAAAGTGCGGCTAAAATAGCCATAAGTGTCTTGCTATTATTGTCGCCCATCCTGAAATCATAACACTCAAGAAAATTTTAAAGTAAAATAAAAATAAAAGAAAGAAAATTCAACAAAGCAAGAAACCTCACAAGTCACTCCAAGAAAGTAACACAGTGAGAGGAAAGTAAGGCGATCTTGTACTCTTTAAAACTCAATTTACCTAGTAGTCTTCCACAGTTCGTATCGGATTTTGATTACTAGCAAAGGTGATAAGAAAACCTAAAAGCTCTAAGAGGCCAAACAAGGGTTAGACTCCAAGAGAACGAGAATGCAAAGAAAGAAGAAGTATGCAAATTCTTTAGTCCTACTAACACAAGAAAGATAATGTGTTAGATAATGCAAAAGAACAATAAAAAGGAAGAAAAACAAAAGAACCTAAAGCACTAAGAGTCAAAGAAAAAAAAACCAAACCAGAAACCTAGAAAACGCTGGATCAACTTGAGCAACGTTTTTTTAGGGGGTTACCAGTGTAAAACTTTTGTAAAAATTCTTGAATTTCTTTCGATGCGTCGAGAAACCACCTGTAAAAGTTCAGAACCGAATACCTTCAGTAGTATTTAGTAGACTCTGTTGAACGGTGAGTCCTCAAACAATCTGTTTTTTGTGATTGCTTTGTTCGAAGGTGTTCTTGATCTCTAAAAATTCTGATTTTTTTTGTGTGAATGATATTAAATATATGCAGTTTCAATCTGAAAATTTTCACCACGAAATTTCTCCTATAGAAGTTTCAAGAAATTTGACAAGATTCTAGACTAAATCTGCTAATGAAACTTGAATGATGTACTTGAAGGCTCTAACGAACTCCAATTGGGGTGAATTTTGGATTGGAGACTACTCTTAGGATGAATATGATATCTAGAGAAAATTAGCCCTAAATTCCTTCTTTTGTATTTTTTTTGAAATTTTGGCTTTTTCAGCCCTTTTTTGTTTTTTTTTTAAAACTAACAAGAAGGATTTGAATCTAAATTAAAATTAAATAAAAAAATCTGAAATGACGAATCTTTTTTGAACTAGCTCCGTTGGGTACCTTGACGGTTTTGTGTGCAAGAACAAGCAAGATTGTTTCCTTCTTTCCAAGAATCGACCCAAATCTGATATCAATTGATAAAGAAGAGATGGCGGGTTAATGGACGTTGCTCTTGTTGAAGAATCAAACCTAGAAAGCTCTAGACTCGATGAAGAACAAAGGGGATAAATAGGGGAAGGTGGCGACATCAACTAGTATTCTTTAGGGTTTCTTTTAGATGCTGGAATTAAGGCAATAAAATTAGAACAAAATAAACAAAAGATAAAGAAATTGAAAATAAGATAATAAAGAAATCAAAAGATCTCCCTTATGAAGGTAGACGGTAAAGATGATTGATGGTACGGATGTATTTGTGGAAAATAGATAGATAAGTGTCCTATCGAACCCTCCTCATAGTAATGAAAAGACAAACTCGATAAATGGCTCTAACCAACCCTCCTAGTCGCAATGAAATGACAAATTGGAGTGTGAAGATTAATCTCCCTCACAAGAACTTGAAAGAACTCCAAGAGAATAAGCTTCGAAGGCACAAGGTGTTCAACACTTGCAAAAATGAACTATCGTTGTATTATTAATCAAAGAAATCTGATTTACAAAGTTAAATGAAGCCTCATTTATATAGGGGCTGAGTTCTAAAGGTCCTAAATAACTAATGAATAAAATAATAACAAACTAAATATTTCTTAGCTCTAATTCCTAGTAAAATAATAATAACTAAAATTAATGTTTTAACTCAACCTTAATTTCTAATAAAATAATAAATATAATCCTGAAAGATAATATATCATCTTATATTAAATTATATTACAAATAATCAATATAAATATTGAAAATTCGTAATATTTACAAAATCACGTATTAATCTCATATATGAATTTCTACATGTGATATCTTCAATAAAATGAACATATCTTGAGTTCCCAATATCAGATTGATGCGATTCAAGAACCGTTGAAAAGCTAAGAGACAGAAGGTTATATATCCAGAAAACATATTGACCAAATAAGATCAAGATCCCATTCAAAAAGTCGTCACAAGTCTACTACTGTTCTGATCTTCTTTTCCAAGGCTTGGACGAGTGGATCATTTGGAAGAGTTATTACTTCTTCCTTTGATGTGAGCCTTGCGATGCATGTATCAACGGACCTCATTAAAAACCCCTTCTAAACCTAATAAGGGGAAAAGAGTACCCAACTATCATAAATCAAAAACCAGGTACATCATTCATAATGTCATGATTGATGATATCAAGACAAACCGAATCAAAAAAACAATGAAACACCAGTACGAAGTGCCCAACTAGTTAGCTTGTGTGCAACAATATTACAAGAACGACTAGAAAATGTTATACGAAAACAAGGCTTAGACTGAAAGATGTCACAAGCTTCCTGAACAAAGATACTCGGAGTAGAAATGTCCCCGGAATGTCTTGATATCTTGTGCACAAGCATCATCAAATCAGTTTCAAACTGAACATCCTCCCAACCTTTATCACATGCAAACTGCAAATCAGCAAGCAACGCATGAAGCTCCGCAAAGCCAGCTTCAATGCATCCAAAAGGTTAAGCCAGATCGGTAAGGACCTGGCCTTTCTGATCACAGGCAAATTCAAATAGTTTACATTCTCAAGAACCAGTGATAATATACTTCGATCCTGTTTGGTATTTAATATACTTGATAAAGTTGATATGCCCATCAGTTTGGATCTCATTCACAAGACTCGATAAGAAATCAGCCCATCAATTGTCTCTACAACCAGATGATTCATGCGCACCAGTAGCAGCAAGTAAACACGTCCTTTGGGCCCTGTATGCACCAACCAGAACTTGTCAACTCAGTTTTTAGCTATAAACCATTACATGCCATATGTGTGAACTGACGATCCTTCGTTAAGGAATATACTAGGACAATAAATAATTAATTTAGGCCACATGCTTTAATGAACCAACGGAATATATTCATCTTTTTGTTTCCATTCTTTATTTTTCTTGAAATATCCATATCCGGCACCCACATCCAATGTTATATCAAGTCATGGTATAGGGATATGCGCCTCTTAAGAAACATATTCGGATATAGGTAAAGAATAACCCTCCCAAGACCCTCTATATATATGAAAATCTTTAGAATGATAATAAAAAATGAACATATCACGTCAAACAAAAAACAATGTTTGACGTTACACCTGAATCTGAGATATATGAAAATATAATAAGTTATAATCAAACTAGAGACGATTTGTAGGATGCAGTGGGTTACCTAAGTCCAAGGCTTCAATTTCATCTTGGTGGAAATAGTTATAACCTTTTGTTTTCTCTTTCTTGCTCAAACTTGAGTTGATCTTCTCCACGGCTGCAAGTAGATCCTGAAAGTACACAAATAAATGAACACGATTTGTATTGGATGATTACCAATTGAGAATGTAGCAGTTATGCTTTATAAAGAATTGGTAATTAAAAATTTAAGATAAAAAAATGTCTACAGGATTTGGTATTCAATATATTTCAGATTTTAAGCACCTATGGAGAGATCTTTAAATCAGAAATCACCATCCTAATACCTTAGCTAACCCAAGTCAGGTGCATCCATCCAACAAAGAAACAATATAAGCATCACAACAGGAGCGTGGCTTCAACATACAATTATTACTGTTCGAATCGATTTTCTATTTTTTGCTCAGCCCAATCCTTCATCCCATGATACATTTTCTTGGCACAATGTCAAGAAGCAATAAACTCAATTCAAGAAGAGGTTGTAATTTTTTTTTCTTTTACCATTTTAATTCTGCGTTTTCAATGTTCCAAGTTTTAATCATGCCCTGTTTAAATGTGGAAAGAGTTTTTATAAAACCTTCCTGGTGTAGCTCTAACATAAAGGCAAAACTCTAACAAAGTACATGAAATTTAAAACATTAGTTAGAATCCTCAACAACCAAACACATGAACTACATACCTCCCACGATGCTAGATTTGTCATATACGAAGGAAGACTTTCATAACCATCCTTAGAAACTTGTAATACTGGCCCCTTAGCTTGAGCTTGAACGTGATTTGGGTCTTTTTCCTCTTCTGCAACGTAACATGGCATTAAAAAAATGACATAATATTGATTACAACCCGCTATTGGTCAGTCATAAACCCAATAAATGGATGGTCAATGGCAACTTAAAAGTGTAGTAAAACTCTGTAATTTCTACCTCTATTTACTTCAATTGTGTCTGTAATAGGCTTATCTGTACCCTTGATGTTGCTTGTTTTGTCTCCATTGTACCTGCAATTTAGGCTTAGTGATAGTTTGTAAAGGAAAGAAAAAGAGGACCAACAAAAGAGCAAGTGGTCCTTGTACAATCAATATAAAGAACTTTCAAGACTCTGAAAACTTACTTCATGTTTTCTCCAAAAGATAAATTAGAGTCATCAACCTTTTGATTAGCTGCGGATGCAAAAATGGCAATAGTAGAAGCTCATTCTTATTCTGAAAGGGTAAAAATCCAATCCATCTTCTATAGATTGAAAGTGGGTATTACTCGAAACCCCTCAAAAAATGATAACTCATTTCATCTTCTATGGATAATTACAAGAAATAATGATTTAAATAGTGTAAGGAAAGGGGGAAGTAGGAAAGAAAGAAAGAAAGAAAGAAGCAAGCAAAAGCGCAAACCTTGAGATGCTAAAGTGGCAAGACAAACATCGGAGAGCCCAAAATTCTTTAGGCTCAGCGATTCATCAAGACTACAAGAAATAGCATCAAGGGAAAACACCAATTTCTTTTTCATCAGTGCTTAATAAAAGAAGATTTCATTAATTTAATGTACTATTTTATGATAAAAGTTTTGCATTAAACGTGAATTTTACAATTCTACTATCTTGATTTTTAATGCATTAGTCAAATTCTTAAGGAGGGGTAAAAGTTTTGCAAATTATGCTTTAAAAAGGTTGAAGGATACAACAAAGTATCTTCTTCAAAGCTATTCAAAGCTGAACTGGTTACGGCTGAAGATATTTCTTTTGAATCCAAAATATCCTCTTCGTCTTCATCTTCAATATCAACTTCTACTTATATATATAAAAAAAACAAGTGAGGTAGAAACTTACAATATATTCTGTAAAAGAAATTAAAAGTGTTGATACATACGGGAAATATAACCCAGAGGCTTGAGGCGATCTTGGAGATGAAGGAGATGGGTTTGGTTATTGTCGAAGACTTGATAACAGTGGCCTAAGAGTTCCTCGAAGGAAACGGTGCCGAAGGACATGGAATCGAGGAGGTTGAGGTCGGCTGTGGCGGTTGAAACGCGACGGTTTAGGCATTGAACGAACGTCGATGAAGCCGAATCTGAGTTGCCAAAAGTACGATCATCAAAATAAGAACAGTTTGGTTAGTAGTAGGAGAAAAAAAAAGAGGTTGAGAAAGAAAAGGAAAAGGGGGATAACCAAGAGGGATGGGGCGGCGGTCGATGGATTGCTTCAGAGCGTCGCAACTGCTTTGAAGGTGGTTGCAGAATGAACCCAGACTTTTGCTCAAATTTGTTATCAATTCTTCCATTTTCTTTGAGATCGGCTTCTGCTATTGCTATTTGCTATCACTTTTAACTTTTGATTTTTCTAATTTCATTTGAGCGCCAAACTCCTCCTTTTCTATCTTTGGGTTAATGCATTCTTTGGACCCAAAGTATATTCTTTCTCCATTTCTGTCCTTCTACATTTGTAGTCATGTCAAGATCTATTAATATTCTTTTCAATAAGTCACTTCCTTTTATTAGTCTATAATAAAACGTGTCATGTGTACCTCCAAGTAAGGGTGGGTACTCAATCAATTCGAGTTAAAAAATATTTAAGTTCACAATTCGTATTTTATAGGTTAACCTTCATTTAAAAAAAATTCAAATCTATTTTATACAATTTAAGTATTCAAATTCCAATTTAATTATAATTATTTATAGGATTAAGGTATGGATTAATTCCAAATTTTCAAATTTTCTCTCTCTATATATATTCATTTCACATTATAATATCATTTAAAATATTAAATAAAATTTAAAATTATAAAATATATTTAGGCTTAAATATACAAAAGGTGTCCACCCTATGCCAGTCTTTCCAGTTTAGTGCCTAATATTTATTTTGTTCAAGTTTGATGTCTAATATTTCATTTTATTACTCAAAATGGGTCAAGCCATAACAAACCGTTAAGTTTGGTCGTTAACCCATTAAAAATGATTTCTTCTGCTCTTTCTCTGTCTCATTAACTCACTGTTCATTTTCTTTTTCTATCTTGAATTTTCTCGAAAAAATTGGTGAAACCTTGTCTAAAAATGATTTCTTTATGCTGAAAATATCATGTAAGAAACTCATGCTCTAGTAACACAAACTATGAAAGATCATGTTTTAGAGCTCAAGTTAGTCTCACAAAGATTCTTCATTTAATCTCAACAATCCCATCGCCGAGCAAATTTGCCCCAAACCCTTTTGAGAATAGAGGGTTTGATATATACTTATGCCATGACCATTTTTTTAGTTAAATAATTAATTTTAAAATAATTATAACTTTATTTTGATGAATTTGGATTTCGGTTTATTTGAAATTTGGAGTCTCCATCAACCTTTGGGTTAGGTAGGTCGAATACCTAAAAACATCTATTAAAACAATTTTAAGAAAAATCATTTTTAAGACAAAAATTGGTATGCGTTTACCAAAGACTCATTTTTTAAGGGTTCGAGAGTCGATTTCGCGTGGGGCAGAGCTAGCACCCCCACGGCGCCCAAAATTGGCACTTCTCAATTATATGTTATCTAAGTAGTGGAATTTTACAAATTCAAATTCAAAATTGAAATTACGATCCTATTATTTTTATGATTTTTAAAAGAATGAGTGAATCTATTTTAAAATATCCGCCTCAGTGAAAATAATTTAATTCACTCGATCTTATTTGAAAATGGTGTTCTTCTACTACGTGTATTAACTGAAATTTTAGTCCAGTCATGTTGGACGTAATTTCATTAATCCACGACGTAAGACAACATTGCCTTTGAATAACAAAAAAATGAGAAAACACATGCATAATTTATTAATGCATAATTTATTAATGCAATAGTAATAAATGGTGTATATAGAATGAATGAAATATTGATAAAATATAATAAAACTAAACATGGATAAATAAATAAAATAACTAAACTAAGGTATATAAATAAATACATGAAATAAATAACAAAGAACATTTATATTTATTAAAATAATTGTGTAAAACGTAATATATAAAAAATATAAAAAACAATAATATATCAAAAAATATTTAAAGTGAAAAAAAACTATATTTGATTAACTTAATAAGAAATATATAATAATATTAAAATATTTTATTTGAATAAACCTCGAAATGGCACCCTGTGTTTGGGGATCTTCTATAAGTTATTCGAATAATTAACAAATAATCTTATAAAGTTTTATAAAACTAAAAAAAGTACTTAATAAAATATTTGAAAAATATCCTTTTTGGTATTAATATATAAATACATACATGAACTTTTCTATAATATATATATATATATATATATGCACACTTCATATTTAACGTTATAGTTTTATAAATATTGAAATTACTACTTAAAATAATATATATGCATATTATATTCAAAAAATAAAAATAAAATAAGTGTACACATAATAATATATGGACTAAATTGAAACAACATAAAGAATGATCAAAATGAATATGGAGCAAAATTAAGATTACAAGTGTAAATGTGACATTTTCAAGCATGTAATAGAAGAAAGGACTAAAATGAAATAAATCTAAAATTGCAAACCAAATTAAATATTTAGCCATCATATAAACAAGTTATATAGTGAACAAAATATAAACATATGAAATTGCAAGCAAAATGCAGAAAAAGAAAAAAAAACACCTAAAATGAGATATAAAGGCATTATGACCAAACTGAACTCGCAAAAAAATTATGAGACCAAATCAGGAATTCAAAAACCTCTATTTGAGGAATAGATTGAATTGAAACAAAATAGGGCAGAGTCCTTACATAATTAGCCCACAAAGCAAAAAACACGATTGTCCTAGTTCACTTAAACGACGTCGTTTTGAGGGATATATATACCCTATTATAAAATTTTTACAACCCTACTCCCCCCATTTGATTCAGCCACTCAAAACCAAAGAGAGAAAGAAAATAAAAATTTCTCTGAAATCCTTCCCTCACCGGAGAAGATTCTGTCGCTCAGTGGAACCGTCAACCGTCTTTCATGGCGGCCGAAGTTCGAAATACACTGTCTAAAATGACGCTATCAACCTCATAATCTCATATCTAAAATCCTCTAAGCCTAAAACTCAACCAAACGACCTAGATCTAAGGAGTTACCTCTCGGTAACTTATTTTCCAACGTCGTTTGAATGCTTCTAGTGAAAGATAGTCCTTCGAAGGTAAGCCTTCTCCTCTTTTCTTCTTTTTTCCTCTCGTTTTAGTTTGAATGACCCTTTTTTATTCGATTTCTTCTCTCTATTTTCTCTTTTTTTAGGATCTCCCCTCTTTTCCATTTTTCATTCAAGCCCCCTTTTAATATGCTTGTTCTCGGTCCTTTAATGGTTAGGGTAACTGATTTGGTGGAGCTAGGGTAAGGGTTGATGATTGCCCTATTTTGATTGATTTCTCTACTTTTCTTGTCAGTGGAGTGAAACAATGACGCATGTGAGTGTATGAGGTGACAATAGTGGTAGTAGGTGGCTAGATCGGTAGCGGCAAGCCTTGGTAGAGGATGGTAATGGCAACAAACTTAGTAGTTAGGGTTTGCCTTAGATTTGGGCTTACGACTTTTGTTTTGGCCCAGTTTGGGTCATGTATGTGTAAGTGGGCATGTTGGGCCCTTGAATTTTGACTTGTAATAATAATAGTAATAATAATAATAATAATAATAATAATAATAAACATAAAAAATGGTTACAACCTAGATGAAAACGAGTGTCTACACCTTCCCCTTTTTTCCCATTCTTGTGTTAACAAGAATAGGGTAAAGATAAAAAGATAACGCGTTTTTGTCTGATTCTATCTTTTATTTTGAAATTTTGATGTTGTCTCAAGTGAGACTGAAAATTATCTTTATCTCAAGAGTGATTTTTCAAAGTTTTGTTTCAAGGGAAACGATTTCAAAGAGATAAATTTTAAAAGTTGCGTCTTTAGAAGAAAGAAATTTTAAGCAAGACAAAACATGTTTCAAGATAAACAATGCCAATACTTCAGGTTTCAAAAGAAGCTATCTCGAGCGAGATAAAATTGCTTTCAAAAGAAGTTATCTTATGTGAGATAAAACTTTTGCTTTTGAGATAAAACTATCTCGAGTGAGGCAAAATTTGTTTTGTGTTTCAAAGTAAACTATGATAAGCAAGATGGAATTTTCCTTTAAGAGAAACAATCTAAAAAGATACAAGCAATATGTTCCTTCGTGTTGAGGAAGTCTAATCGTTGTCAGATGATGTGACGCTTCAATTAAGAATGTAAAGTTTATTGACGATGTTGTTCCTTCGTGTTGAGGAAGTCTAATTGTTGTCAGATAAAACTACCTCGAGTGAGGAAAATTTTGTTTTGTGTTTCAAGGAAAACTATGATAAGCAAGATGGAATTTTCCTTTAAGAGAAGCAATATTAAAAGATACATGCAATATGTTCTTTCATGTTAAGGAAGTCAAATCGTTGTCAGATGCTGTGACACTTTATTTGAGAATGTAAAGTTTTTTTGACGATGTTGTTCCTTCGTGTTGAGGAAGTCTAAACGTTGTCAGATAAAATAACTCGAGTGAGGCAAAATTTGTTTTGTGTTTCAAGGAAAACTATGATAAGCAAGATGGAATTTTCCTTTAAGAGAAGCAATCTAAAAAGATACAAGTGATATATTACTTCGTGTTGAGGAAGTCTAATCATTGTCAGATGATATGACGCTTCATTTGAGAATGTAAAGTTTGTTGACGATGTTGTTCTTTCGTGTTGATGAATTCTAATCATTGTCAGATAAAACTGCCTCGAGTGAGGCAAAATTTGTTTTGTGTTTCAAGGAAGACTATGATAAGCAAGATGAAATTTTCCTTTAAGAGAAGCAATCAAAAAAGATACACGCGATATGTTCTTTTGTATTGAGGAAGTCTAATCGTTGTTAGATGATGTGATGTTTTTGTTTGAGAAAGTAAAGTGTTTTGACGATGTTGTTCCTTCGTGGTTGATCGCTTGTAAATGTATATGCTAAGACAAGCAAATATGTGCAAGTATACACAATCGATGCAAGTAATATAGGGTAAGTGAGTATCGTCTCCACAGGAATTGGTCGAGAAATATATTTTCACCATAACTAGAACTATTGTCATAAACTAAGTCCTACTAAGTTGTCAAGTTAAGAACTACTAAAGCAAATGGGTGATTTAATGAGTGCAGTAAAGTTTGGTCGAGACAAAAGAAATATGCAGAACACTAAAGTAAATAAAACAAGATATGTGTTGATTTAAATCGAATGCAAACAACCTCACATATTCAGACATATCATAGATCACTGATGCTAAACTCATGTATTGACAACAATTATTTCTAA